TGGTTAAGAATACACTGGGACACATGTCATGATGTCTCACAAGCGGTTTATTACATTTAACGGCGTTGGTACAAGCAAACCATTTCGGGATTCGAACATGGTCGAAGTCAAACATGGGTTAAGAATACACTGGGACACATGTCATGATGTCTCACAAGCGGTTTATTACATTTAACGGCGTTGGTTCAAGCAAACCATTTCGGGATTCGAACATGGTTGAAGTTAAACGTGGGTTAAGAACACACTGGGACATGTGTGGTGATGTCTCACCAGCTGTTCATTACATTTGATGGCGTTGGTACAAGCAAACCATATGCGGATTCGAACATGGTCGAAGTCAAACATGGGTTAAGAACACACTAGGACACGTGTGGTGATGTCTCGCAAGCGGTTCCTTACATATAATGGCGTTGGTACAAGCAAACCATTTGAGGATTCGAACATGGTCGAAGTTGGAAATTGGTTAAAACATCCTGGGACACCCAGGCACATGTCAATTTAGTAGTGGTGATGTCTCACAAGAGGTTCCTTACATTTGAAGGCGTTGGTACAGGTAAACCCTTTGAGGATTTGAATATGAACGAGGTCGGAAACAAGTTTAGCACTTTATCTCAGCAATGCGACAGGAACCCGGGGCCCGGACAAACGCAGAACGCTTATCCGTTTGACTGGAGCCCAACTGACAAAGAAGTTACAGCCTGTTAAAGAGTCACCAAGCCGAAAGGCTGAAGAGCCCAAGTGTTATCGTTTGATTAAATATTATTATTATTCTGCCGATTTTTATACCAGAGCTAGCAAAATAACCACTGGCTCGATTTTGTTTCAATTTTGTATGTGTATGAAGACCGTTGGGTACTAGTGCCCGCCAAAAACCCAAGGCCGTAGGCCCAAAGGCCAAGGGCAGATAACTAAAAATCAAGACTTTTTTAATGATGTATTTCGCCCTATTGCTCCGCAACAGCTTATCCGATGACTTTGAAAACTTGCATGTATCTGCTGCTTGAGCTGCTTGACATTTTTTGTTCTTTGACTTTGGTCATTGGTCACATGGTTTGGCAGCCATATTAGATTCAAGGTTTTCACAGTGTCTTTTGGGTACCTGTGTTCAAACGCAAACAACTCCGAGTCCACTGCATGAAATGCTTCCAAATTTTCTGAGAATTCTCTCCACACACAACACAGCAAACTCTAATAGCCGTTTTTGGATATCTGTTTTAGTTGCCGTTGTATTGGATTTTGATTTTGATAAAAAAAATTACCGAAATTTTACTTTAACGATGATATCTTGTTAGCTTGTTGACAGAAACTATTGCAAGTTTACATGAAGTTAGAGGGGCGGTTGGGTAGCCTAGTGGTTAGAGCGTTCGCTCGTCACGCCGAAGACCCGGGTTCGATTCCCGACATGGGTACAATGTGTGAAGCCCATTTCTGGTGTCCCCCGCCGGAAATTGCTGGAATATTGCTAAAGGCGGCGTAAAACCATACTCACTCACTCACTCACATATAGTTAGTGTATCATATGCATCTTATTTTCTGTTCTTGGGTGCATGGAAAAAGTAACAACACTTGGTGGTAATATTTGATTAAAATTTGGGACACCCCTTGAACACGCCAATGTCCTGCAAAAGGTGACTATCTTTTGACAGAGTTGGTACAAAAAAAACCTTTGAGGATTCGAACATGTTTGATGTCGGACATGGGTTTAGAACAGACTCAGCACACGCCAATTTCGTAGCGGCAATACCCTGCAAGTTGTGCCTACATGTGACGGATTTGGTACAAGGAAACCCTTTAGGATTCGAACATGGACATTTGTGTAACTTGGAGCCCGCCATTGCTGCTTTGCAGCTATATTTTTGATGTTATTATTGTTAACTGGGGGTAATTGCTAACTAACTTATAACACTTACAAATGTTAAATGTATAATAGATTGTTAATTCAAAAAGTTTGTTGTAGAAATATATTCGTTTAGCATTTTAAAACCTTTTTCTACAACCTGTCACCCCCACAATAGAAATGATGGCATGTTCGATTTCCAAGAAATAACCTCTCTCACAACTTCCAAGAATTGTCAGTCAGCCCACAGTGTACAACAAGTTGGTAGAAATTAAAACACCTGTCTTTGGACTAAGTTTGGAGTGTTACTTGTCAACATCTTTTGAAAAACTATGTGTTTTGAACACTTATTTTGAACTACTCACAACTATGGTGTTTTTAATCTTGAACTTAATTAATAATTGTTACATATATAACTACCTTTGACCACTTTTCGGAATGTTCTAAGATTGCGGACCTGTGTGCCTGTGTTGTTACGCGTTGCAAGAGAGCGCCGTTTTCAAAGCGTTGTTGCCGTCATGGTAGAATGGAGATAAACCTACTGTGTTTTGAAATTTGATGTAGTCCCACTGTAGAATAGATACCTCTTTATTATAATTTGGAAAAAGAGGTATCTATTCTACAGTGGGACTACATCAAATTTCAAAACACAGCAGGTTTATCTCCTAATTTACACTTAAATATATACACCTGGAACTTAATTAAGCGCCACCGAACTAAATATGACACAGAAAATAAGCAAACAACGATTATTTATTAGACAATATGGCCCTTTCCCCACACCATCCCACTGACAATGCCACGATCAACGTGATTGCTGTTGCATGCACTGCACGTGAAGCACAATACCCTTGAATTTTCTGAAATCAAGTATGGGTTTTTACCTTTGCACACCTTGAAAGGTACACATTTCTTGACAAAGACTGTCTGATGGTTGTAAAACACCATCATGCCACACCGTAGACTGTCAGAAGCATTAAGATTGCAGGTTATTGGAATGAATAATGCAGGATTGTCTTTTAGGGAGATTGGACGGCAACTTGGACGTCACCATTCTGTAATTGCAAGATTAGTGCAAAAATACCGTGCAACAAATGAAGTTAAGGTTAGACCACGGCCAGATCAGCCTCGAAAGACTTCCAGGCGGGAAGATGCAGCGTTATTAAGGCTTGTTAGGCGACTTCCGTTTGACAACGCTACAGTTTTAAGATCACAGTGGCTAGGTGGCCGAGCAATTTCAACCAGAACTGTCCGAAATTGTTTGAAGGCAGTGGGGTATAGAGCCAGAAGACCAATCAAACGTGTCCACTGTTAACACAGGAACACAGACGAGCTCGTTTGGCGTGGTCAACTCAACGTCAGAACTGGAACATTCGATCATGGAGGAGAGTTCATTTTTCTGATGAAACCGGTTCCTTTTGCACATGGTGGACGGGCGTACACGTGTCTGGAGGCAGCCGAATACAGCCATGGCCGAACGCAACATCCTTGAAACCATTCCTTTTGGTGGTGGCTCCGTAATGGTGTGGGGTTGTGTATCTTTCTCTGGACTTGATCAGTGTGCATGGCACTCTTAACGGACCTCGATATCAGCATGACATCTTGGACTTGGAGACGGCAGTTATTCCCCATTTTGATAACCATCCATTGGCCACAAGACCGATATTCATGGATTACAACGCCCGACCTCACAGATCACGTGCTGTCCGCGAATGTTTACGTCAGAATGCGATTGAGACATTTCCTTGGCCAAACAGTCCTGATCTCATTCCCATAGAGCATCTCTGGGACATTTTAGGCCGTCAAGTTCGAGAAAGAGACCCACCTGTCCAAAATTTACGTGAACACGATGCTGCTTTGCATGAGGAGTGGCCTAGAATACCTCAACGCCAAGTTCAATGTTTGATTCAGGGAATGAGGAAGCGTTTGGCTGACGTCACTCGTGCACAAGGAGGATACACCAAATATTGACATAAACTGTGTTTTGGGCTTCTTTAGACATTGTTCCAGGATTGCACTGATTCAAATTTGATGCAACCATTTCAGTGACCGCTGTGTGACAAAAGTAATTTTCACTTTGTTTTTGGTGCAAGTTACGCATTTTTCTAAAATGTCACCATTTGAAAATAAAATTCATCAGTATGCTTCAAACTCATGTTTTCTCTGTGATTAGAGTCCCTTTTAAGCAGTGAACAACACTAGACACACGTATGTAAAAGGAATTTTTCGGTAGGTTGCAACATGGTTGATTCATTGATATAAATATGGGTGGCGCTTAATTAAGTTCCAGGTGTTTCATGAAAATGGTACCTAACGAGAATGAGTGTGGTATTCTCTATATATGTTCTTGTTGTTAGAGAAAATACTGATAACAGACATATAGAATACTAAACTCGCTCCTGTCTAGGACCAATTTTATTAAATGAGTGAATAGTTCTGGTATCTGACAAGGGAAGTGAGTCAGATACCACAACTATTCACGAGTTTCATGAAATTGGTGTTACGTGGGCAAAAGCGAGTCAGATACCACAACTATTCACGAGTTTCATAAAATTGGTCCTACACAGGAGCGAGTTTAGTATTTTATTTTCTCAGTTGCTATTTAAACAACGTTTTTAGAATTATACTTTTGAGTGTGAATAGGCTGACACCTACACGATCCACGGAATAATCCAATTGAGTTTGACAGAATGATACTTAAAACATGTCAAAAGTTGAAACGTATGAATTTAATACCATACAACGGTCAACCTTTAGAATTCAGGTGTCCGTTCCACAAATTTATTGTAGCGATAAGGTTATCGCAACTCACATACTTTTACTTAGACTTACGACTGGCGTTGCTCTATGGTACGATCACCTTGTGGAACGGGGCCTTGCACCCGAAAGTTTACAATCACGTCACAATGGCCGATGATGTAATTTGTGGAATTATGTTGCAAGATCCATCGGTGAAACAATGCCGTGTGACGTCAGCCTAGCAACAAGGTTTCTGGGGTCATCGAGTGTGCTTAGGCTCCTCTTAGTGATCTATCATCTCCACACGCAATGTTGTTGAAGAAGCCGAGGGATGTTGAGAGCTTTCAATATTTGTTCATGAAACTTGTTCCGAGAGTACATAGGCACGCGTTTTGGTATTACACAATGTGTAATACAGCTGTATGTTTATAAACAGGTGTGCAGGAATTTTTTTTTTTTTTTCAGAAATTGTAAGTGTTGGCAGCTACGTGCCAGATATTCCAAGGACACATATCGGTATGCATGTTTTTCATCATTGGATTATGGTGCAGTAAATTATTTTTCTGCAATGATGTGTTTTTAATTTGCTTTAACTGGGAAAATGAACAATAATCTACTACAGTTGAATAAACTTACAATAAAAATATAAATCAATAATGCTTTTCATTTTCCACAGTTCAAGAAAATTTTGCAATTATTTGTTATATGATCTTGACCATGGCAAGGATCTGTGTATATGCAGTTGTTGAACAGGTGACTCTCCATAGTCTCTGACTGGGGTGAATTAAGCTAAAGCAACTAAAATGGACAAGTGTGCTTTTTTCATGTTGGATCTCCCGACATGGGTACAATGTGTGAAGTCCATTTCTGGTGTCCCCCGCCGTGATATTGCTGGAATATTGCTAAAAGCGGCGTAAAACCTCACTCACTCACTCACTCATGTTGGATCTACAGCTGTGTTCACTTCTTGTTTACAATGAGGTGGTGTTTTCCTTTTATTAATATACCTCGACAAAAGTTTCGCATCACCAAGATTTTTTGATAATAAGAAAATAGATGTGCGAGGAGAAGGTGGAAAGTGAAACAAAAGCAATAAGTGTAACTCAATTCCAAATAAGATATTGATTTTATGAATAATAGGGAAAATGAGCATTTGCAAAGAAAAAAAGCAGAAGACAGTATGTCTTCAAGGGCTTTAATTGGGGATAAAAAGAGGACAATATAAGTCTACAAGGAGTGTAATTGGGGATAAACAGAGGACAGTATAAGTCTACCAGGACTGTAATTGGGGATAAACAGAGGACAGTATAAGTCTACCAGGACTGTAATTGTGGATAAACAGAGGACAGTATAAGCAGCATCAGAAATTGGCACTAGTCCTATAGTCCTTGCCAAACTGCCCAATGGTGAAGGTATCGTAAGGACTAGTAAAAATTTGCACTTTTTAAGGGTTTTGCTATATGTTATCATTATAAGGACTAGTGGACAAAAACTGTTAGTTTCTAACCCTGATAAGTCTACCAGGACTGTAATTGGGGATAAACAGAGGACAGTATAAGTCTACAAGGACTGTAATTGGGGATAAACAGAGGACAGTATAAGTCTACAAGGACTGTTATTGGTGATAAAAAGAGGACAGTATAATTCTACAAGGACTTTAAGTGTAGATAAACAGAGGAAAGTATAAGTCTACAAGGACTTTAAGTGTAGATAAATAGAGGCAGTATAAGTCTACAAGGCGAAACCACATTATCGGTGGTTCATGTTGGGAAAGGGAGGTCACTCTAATTTCAAACGGGAGCTATCTCCGTTGTTTTCGTATTTGCAAGAAATGGCGTCACGCACGCTGTACTTTGTTTGTCCAGCTATTAAATGCCCAGCTTATCCCTAAGGTAAAACGTATTCTTAATTAAATGTTTGAATGCATTATATATTTATGTTTCCATCCGTACATCTTCTAAGATTGGTTTAGTGCTGATAACCATTTTCTAAAATGTGGGCCAACATTTTCCCCGTCATCTATGGTGATTGAAACAACTGGGCCCACATTTGTATTTCGCCTAGCTTCGTTAGGTTGTTTCGTTAGTTCTGACAATCAATTCCTAAATGTGGGCAGACGTTCTTCCGTCATATTGATTGCAACAGGAGGGACCACATTTATTCATCGCGAAATTCTACTTAAATAATTGTTCCCTTCATAGATGGTGATCGAAACAAGTGGGCCAACATTTGTATATCGCCTAGTGGGTAGACGTTCTTCCGTCATAGTGATTGCAACAGGAGGGACCACATTAAAAAAATCGCTAAGCTTCATTAGCTTGGCTTACTTATAACCATTTTCTAAAATGTGGGCCCACATTGTTCCCGTCTTATAGTGATCGAAACAGGTGGGCCCACAATTGTAAATCGCTGGGTTTCATAGGGTTGACGAAGTCATTTAGGCTAGTGGGCTCACATTTGTCATTACTTTGCATGGGTATTATAATATATGTGACATTATATATTATTCTTATTTTGTAATATTGATGGGAAATATCTTTATAAATCAATTCATGTGACGTTAATTCAACGAAAGGCACAAAAGTCTTTGAAGTTTGAATAGCGTCATCATAGCTGACCATCCTAGTTTTATAAAAATAGTTACAAAGCAAGATCTACTTCAAATTGAATTTACAGAGGCAATACCACTCATTCTACTTTTTCCAGTATAACACATCAATCTAATCATAAATGTTGGTGGCGACATAAGCCTGAAAATATGTCTACACTTGAACTGATCTCTGACATGATACAAGCCTCAAACGTTTCCGAGATCTGGTTCCATAAAAGGAATAACTCATGAATATTAATGACCCCACGACCTAGTTTGGCGATGTTTGGAGAAGTGAGTTCTGCTGTATTGCCATCGCATTTGTACATTTTAATCCAATCATAAGTCATAATACTTATTTTAAATAGACAATATAGCAGTTCGTAATGCGGGTTTGTTTACGTACTACATATTCTCAACAACAAGTGCGTTTAGTTTTGAATGTGGGCCCACCTCAAACTTTCGATTAGGCAAACGGAGTTAGCTCCCTTCTCGAACCACCGATAATGCGGTTTCGCCATCTACAAGGACTGTAATTGAGGATAAACAGAGGACAGTATAATTCTACAAGGACTTTAAGAGTAGAGAAATAGAGGCAGTATAAGCATGGTAACTGCCAGGAATGAGTTGGACTGATCAGCACATACATTTCTCAGTAACATTGTATGTTCTCAAGACATTACACTGGCTTTCAGTCTGTCAAAGAATGAACTATAAGAAACTAGTTTTAATGTTCAAAGCATTCAACAACTCCGCTCCAGCATATCTCTCTCATCTTGTACAAAATAACCTGTCATCATGTCCCCTCAGGTCATCAGATCAACTCATGGCAAGGACTGTACTTTCACTTACCAAGACATTTGGCGATCGGTCATTTCATAGACATCCTGAACTCAGCAAGTCCCTAACAGGTCCAGTCAATGTGTGTTTTCTATTGAGTCCACTGATATAGTATGATTAATGTTCAACCAATGGCTATTGCATAATATGATATGCCAGTTTGGTGCATGCCAATGTTTTGCCATCTTTGATTTTCTGGAAACAGTATGCTTAGGCATTTATGTTACAATTGCTCAAAAGGCAGACTTTCAAATTGGTGGAGCTTTCATTTAAAATCAAAAGCAGTAAAGATCAGTAAAGCAGTAAAGGTGTGCATAACGAACCCACAAGGTTGGGCAGTTAAGGTGGCAGATGATGTGTCAACACAGTGAATCATTTGAAAATCTCTGCATTGAAAATGAACTTGCAATTAAATGTGAAATTTGGTGGTGCGATACTTTTGATGGGGTGTATAATTTCAAGTGCCAGGAAGGGGAAAATTCATGCTCAATGAAGCTTGTCATAACATACCATGGACTGAAAGTGAATAGGTTAGTAATTATGAATTCTTTTTGTTAACTTGGCCATGAATGTTATCACTGAATGAATTGCTAATTGTGTACAATTATAAAGCATAAAATCTGTTTTTCTTTTTTTAATTTATCCAGAGACTGTGTATCCAAGTGATCATATGACTTGTTAATTGTTGCATGAAAAAGTCATCACCTTTAATTGCAACTTAATGAGAGCTGATTGTAGTTACGTAAGTACATACCAATGCATCCAGTGTGTACCGACAAAATCCATTAACCAACATTGAAGCATAGATGTTGTAGATAGGTGTGCATCTTCCAATCTCATTCTCCAACTGCAAAGGCCAAAGGAACAGGGCATCAATATAAAAAAAACAAATCAGGTGGATGTAATTTCGAGAACCTGATACGATTTTCTCTAAATGCATGATTCTATTTAAAATACTCACCCCATAACGTGCATCTTCAACAAAGGAATCCACTATGGCTGTTAACCGATTAGCAAAATTCTTTGCTTCCTGTAAATGATACTCCGAATGAAAAAACAACTTATATGAATATGGTACATTATTTGACTGCTGAATACATCTGAAAGTATAGGTGGAGTACCAAATAACCATTGGTTTGGAAAATGAAAAGTAATATGCGATACTTGAAAATAGGGTCATATCTAGACTTGAAAAGCAAATACAGCATTGAACAAAGTGTTGTTGTATTTCACAAGAAATCTCGAACATACCTTTGAAATGTATGTATCATCTCTTACGATAATATCTTAAATATATACAAGTATTTGTCACAGAGTGACGAAATATCCCCCGCCATATACACCATAGTACCAAATATGAAGACAATCCAGCGATTAGTTCTTGAGATATTGTGGCAACACCGTTTTCCAACTCCAAAAACAGATTTGCCTGCTGTGACCTTGAAAATGGGGTCAAGGTCACCAAATCTGACAGGTGTATGCGGTGTCTGTATATACACTATAGTTCCAAATATGAAGACAATCCAGCGATTAGTTCTTGAGATATCGCGGCAACACCGTTTTCTAACTCCAAAAGCAGATTTGCCTGCTGTGACCTTGAAAATGGGGTCAAGGTCACCAAAACCGACTGGTGTCTGCGGTGTCTGTATATACACCATAGTTCCAAATATGAAGACAATCCAGTGTTTAGTTCTTGAGATATCGCGGCAACACCGTTTTCCAACTCTAAAAGCAGATTTGTCTGCTGTGACCTTGAAAATGGGATCAAGGTCACCAAAACCGACTGGTGTCTGCGGAGTCTGTATATACACCATAGTTCCAAATATGAAGACAATCCAGTGTTTAGTTCTTGAGATATCGCGGCAACAAACAGGTGGGACGTACGGACGGACGTACGGACGTACGGACGGTCGTGAATACTATATCCCCCGCTTCGCGCTTTCGCGCGGCGGGGGATAATAAAGATGTTTTAAAGTTAAGATGTAGATCAAGTTGTTATTTCATTTCACAGATTGACAAAGAACCTAGGCCAACTTGCACAAATCCACCTTACTTACAATCAACCTTAAGCACTTACGATCAACTGTACACTCACCATATCTAAGTCTTATTCCACTTGAACGAACCAGTTTAAGTGCAATTGTAAGACATCTTTGGTTTAAGATCATGATCTAAGCTAAGATCAAAATCTTCAACGGTGGAGATATGAATAAACTTGTCTATTGTAGGCATGTTTTAGATCCTCCTCGGAAAAAATATCAGGATTAAACGCATAAAATTCCAGTGAAATTGTTCCGACCCTGTAGTGAAAAGTTCCAGTTGGCAGGAACAAATGTTTGGGTGTGTATATCTGTGATGTTACTGTGTGTTGTTAATGTGCAACCAGAAAAACAGCGAAACTAAGACATACTATTGCAATACAAATAAACAAAATCTGAAATACACAAAAGAATATAATGAAAAAGGAAAGCATGAAACAAATCTTGATATCTGATTAATGATCAGCAGCTCTGGCTGAGTAACCCCATCTGGTGAGATTGTCAGCCCTTAAGAAACCAGATCATTTCCATCATCTTTGAATTTAGGGTTAATAGTACCTCTTTATAAGACAGGAGCTAAAACTGACCCAGGAAACTATAGAGGAATAGCAATACTTGACATTATCAGTAAAGGGTTTTTAACTATCATAAACGATAGAAATAAGTTCTGGATAGATACACAAGATCTTATTTCTGAAGCGCAGGCGGGCTTTAGGGAAGGTTTTACCACCAATGATCAAGCCTTTATCTTACATTCAGTAATTCATAAGTATATAAGATAGAAGAGGGGTAAATTTTACTGCATATTTGTTGACTTCCATAAAGCATTTGACTCTGTTGACAGGAATAAATTGATATATTTGTTATTACAAAGAGGTATCCATGGAAAAGTGTATAATTTGCTAAATGGCACATATCAGAATGTAAAAGCATCTGTAAGGTACAATAAGCAAACCATGACTGATGTATTTAATACAGCATGTGGAGTGCGACAGGGGTGCATATTGTCACCGGTACTTTTTATAATGTACATTGATGAACTTGTCAATGATATATTAACATCCGATAACAGTGGCATATTTATAGATGAATCTGTCTATACTGCTTTTCGCAGATGATGTAGCAATATTTGCAGATACTGTTTTTAAATCTTCAAAAGAAAATAGATATTTTAAGCACCTACTGTGAGAAATGGGGATTAAAAATATTTAATTGTAGTTTTAAAAAAAGGTGGGACCTTATCTAAATATGAGAAATGGTTTATAAATGGGGAAAAAATAGAAGTAACGTCATATTATTAATATCTAGGTATTGTCTTCTCTTGCAGGAACATGTTTATGAAAGCGTATGAGACATTATCCCAACAGGCTGAAAAAGCAGTATTCCCAATCAAACGCTTTATGTACAGATTTAAAAACCTACCGGTTAATGCTGCCTTCGAACTTCAAACTATTTGACGGTAAAATTAAGCCAATTTTGTTATATGGCGCAGAACTAGGGGGTTGGGAGCTCCGAAAATCTATTGAAAAAGTCCACACAAACTTTTGTAAAAGGTTTTACAAATTGGCTCCAGATGCCCAAACAAAGCTGTTTTAGCTGAGTGCGGGCGTTATCCGCTATGTTTATTTGCAAATGTCAGATTACTAGCATTTTGGATCAGGCTTCTCCATCAACCAACACACAGATACACCAAGAAGTGTTATGAAATGTTAAAAAGATTAGACTATCGGGTGATGAAAACTGGGTCTCGAAAGTACGGAGACTGCTTTGCAAATATGGTTTTGGTTATGTGTGGATAGGCCAGTCAATTGATAACAGAAACTACTTCTTAGAATTATTTCAAGCTACGTTGTAACATTCATGGTTTCAGTGTAAATTCTTATAGAAAGTACCAAACACCAGATACATCTTGTCATTCTTGTAACGCACAAGTTGAAGATGAACTCCATGTCGTGTTGGTATGTCCAGCTTATAACCATTTACGTGTTAAATATCTTCCAACTTATTATTATTATCAACCAAATATGTACAAATTTATCAACATGTTGAACATGGTTGATTGTGATAAGTTACTTAAGCTCTGTATTTTCCTCGATAAAGTCTTTAAAATAAGATATAATATGAATGTATTGTGAAAATGTTAGTGGCGCCGTATCATTATATTGTCCCATATTTTACACATGTTGTAATGTTGGCCTCATGGCCATTTATACGGAATAGATGACTTGACTTAAAGTGTTAACGGAAATGTCAAATAGGAATTTTCACACATAGAGCATTTTTACGACCGGATCCATTTGTCATCATATAGATTTCTTATAAGATTTACGACGACCTAGGGAGACAGCTGCAGCAGCTCTGGCTGAGTATTCCTGTCTGGTGAGATTGTCAGCCCTTAAGACATGTATCAAGTTTGGAGGAAAACTTTCTCTGCAGACATTCAACTTGATTGTCCTCCAATGAAGGTATTTCAAGAGACGAGGTGGTAGTTGAAGTCCGAGATTTCTACAGTCCAGGATAGGGGTTTGGAACCTCTGGATAGGACAAAACTTGAGATCCGAGTTGGTTGAAGATCAGATTCTGATAATTGATGAGCCATCCTAGTTGGGTTAATAATTTCAGTATGAAGTACAAATGCCATCTGAGTAGATCAGTCTGTGGATGTGCCTGAATGCCCAAATGCCCGAATGCCCGAATGCCTGAAAAGGCACAATGAAGTCCTCTGTTGTGAAGGTCATTGTCACTATTGGTTTGGTTATCCATGTCTACAGCCACGGGGCCATGGAAATGCCAAATGGCAGGACTGCCCATTGGTAGTGACATTCGTTGAAGAGAAAATGGATGGATAAGGATGTGCAGATTTGCGTCTTGCATATCTATGCTGGCTAGACAGTCGGCTTGCCTTATCATCTGTTGCAATTGAAGTCGATGAAGCATCCTGAAAATTACTATCCAGCTTTGTAGATAATACATGTTGAAAGTCTTCACGTTGTAGATCAGTCTGTATCTGTGGAGGACTGAGGGTATGAGGGGGTGCCATAGGTACTGACAAACTGTAGCCTGAAGTCTTTGATAGGCATTTAGAAGTTGGGAGAACATGAATACATGACACTTTTTATGTATATAAACTTCTTTCTTCTTTGTCACAACGTTTCAGAGCTTCTTCTTGCTCCTTCTTTGAGTAGTTCATTGCAATGTATTTGGTCTGTTGAGGCCATTTGTATATTAGTGAGAGTCATTTGAATGTGAAAGGGGTTCAAATGGACACAGAAACGGAAAAGAATGTGTACCGTCATCAAGATTTGACTTTAGAGAAAAGTACTCCCCAAGAAATTCATGACTGCATGTCACAAGTGCATGGGGATAAGTGCCCTATCTATTCCACTGTTATACTCTGGGAAGTTAAGCCTGGGAGAACAAGCATTGATGATGACCCTAGTTCAAGACACAGGTCTAAGACATGGATCCATTGAAACTATTATTCATGAACATTTACAGATGAAGATATCTGCTCGTTGGGTGCTAAAGTTTCTAAATTCTGATCTTAAGGAAAAAAGAACTGACATTGCCAGATAAGAGCTAATTCAAGAGGATTTTCGTCAAATTCAAAAAGAGAATAGTAACAGGTGATGAAACATGGGTCTACCACAATGATCCTGAGTCAACACGTCAATCCATGGAATTGCATCATTCCACTTCTCCAGCACCAAAGAAATGCAAGTCTTCAAGATCAGTGAAGAAAGTTATGGCCAATGTATTCTGGGATGCAAAGGGTGTGATCCTTGTTGATTACTTAGAAAGTCAAAAGATGATTACCGGTGCCATGATTTGGTCTTTTCGTGTTAAATAGTGCCAAAAAACTCTTAATTATTTACTTTCATGTCATTACTTATCTCACATAAGGTCAAACGTTGTACAATGTTTAACAGATATGATTATGACATGTTGTATCCAAACATATCCAAACAAATCCCTAAAAATCCAAACAAAT